TCATTTGGCAAAAGACGAACCGGACGCCACCGGGGGTGACGGTGGTGACGGCACTGGGGGTGACGGTGGTGACGACACCGGGGGTGACGGTGGTGACGGTGGTGGTGGTGGTGACGACACCGGTGGTGACGACACCGGTGGTGACGGTGGTGACGACCCCGGGGGGGACGGTGGGGGGGGGGGGGGGGGGGGGGAGACCACCTCTAATTCTTGCAGACAGGGAACAGGAGGTCAAGTTCATTTAAGTTTTAATATTTTTTTTAGTGCCACTGATTTCTCATTCAATTCACTTTTTTTTGGGGTCAGATTATCTTAATTTGTCCACATGGGGGGCCGGAGGCCCTACTTTTCAACTCTTTCAACCAGTCAACCAGTGTGTGTTGTGTGTTCTGTGCGACTGTTGGCGATTACCATGATTCCTTTAAGTTCTTGAATGGCAGAATTGGACGGCAGCCTCTGCAACTGACAAAAGAGAAATAGGACAGACAAAAAAAAAAAAAAAAGAAAGAAAGAGATGGCTTTGGTAAATAAACAGCAGTCTGAGTCATTATCCCTATTTTTCCTCAATCAGCAGAGACCCTGGAAGGCAAAAGCGCGGACAAGGATGCTTTCTGCAAGAAGCACATGTGTCAACACACACACACACACATCTCTCTCTCTCTCCGAGTCACATCAATTTTCCCATCCTCATTACTTCTAATTACATCGCCGAGCGGGTCCTAATGCAATCTAATTTGGCAGAGTTGTCGAGGTGGAGGAGAACGGCGCACTCAAAGATGTCTTGGTCATGTGACAAGTCTTATTGAAACAAGCAGCTCTTAGATAATCCCACACACTGATGGATTAAAAGCTCCGAAGACAAGACGCTAAGAGTGCTCGCACCTACGCCACCGTATCAAGCCGGAAGGTGAGACTCCGGCAGTAATGAAGTCAAACAATTTTTTTTGTTTTTTTTTTTTTTTAATTTGAGATATTTAAGATGAGTAGAGATGCAAACAAACTTCACAGTTGACCAGTCCAGCACGGGGTCACGCATAGGGACAAACAGCCATTGGTACCCACACATGTAACTGACCAATGTAAAGAGAACAAACAAACCAGTGGTTCTCAATTATTTTCTGTCAGGAAAAGACATTTTTTTCACCCCTCCTTCCTCCCCAAATTGAAATACTATTGAGAACCTGATATATATATACACTATATTACCAAAAGTATTCGCTCACCCATTCAAATGATCAGAATCAGGTGTCAAGTCGCCGACTTTCTGTCACAGTCAATTGCTACAGAGCTACAAACTTCATGTGACCTTCAGATTAGCCCAAGTACAGTACGCAGAGAGCTTCATGGAATGGGTTTCCATGGCCGAGCAGCTGCAGCTGCCAAGCCACGCATCACCAAGTGCAATGCGAAGCGTCGAACGCAACGGTGTAAAGCACGCCGCCACTGGCCTCTAGAGCAGTGGAGACGCGTTCTCT